CTGGCTGGTCTTCCAGCTTGCTCTGTCAAACCTCTACTCTGGCTGCAGCATTCTGGATCAATTGTAGTCTTCAATGAGCCGAAGAGAGCACACGTTACTCCTCTACTCACACAATTGCACTGGTTGCCAGTTGCCGCTCGCATTAAATTCAAGGCACTGACGTTTGCCTACAGAACAACCACTGGCACTGCTCCCTCTTACCTAAACTCATTACTTCAGACTTATGTGCCATCCAGAAACCTGCGCTCTGCTAGCGAATGTCGTCTTGTGGTACCATCTCAAAGAGGCACAAAATCTCTTTCTCGGACCTTTACCATGGCTGTTCCCTGTTGGTGGAATGATCTGCCTAACTCAACCAGAGCTTCTGAGTCAGTAGCCACTTTCAAGAAACTGCTGAAGACATATCTTTTTCGGCAGCACTTGATTCAGTAGAATTAACCCTTTCTCTTCTCTTCTATTCTTAAAAAAAAAAAAAAAAAAAAAAAAACTGCACTAAAATTAAACTGAGAGGGGTTATAGCACTTACGTATTGTTGTCCTTCTGTTAGTTTAACTGCTTCTATTGTTCTCATTTGTAAGTCGCTTTGGATAAAAGCGACTGCTAAATGTATATATCTGCTAAATGTATATATGTAAATGTAAATGTAAATGATATAGCCCCAGCGGGTTCCGGAATGCAGTATAGGTTCTGGACGCCTCCTTCAGGGGTACTTGCCAATACCCTTTACATAAGTCCAAGGTTTTAATGTACCTGGCTTGGCCGATCCTCTCCAGAAGATCATCAATGCGTGGCATTTGAAATCCATGAAATCTTGACTGAGCATTCAGCTTTCTGAAGTCAATGCAGATGCGTTAGGTATCGTCTTTCTTCGGGACGATAACAATTGGGCTGCTCCACTCACTCTTGGAGGGTTCAACAACTCCCAACTACAGCATTGTCTCAATCTCTACCTTCAGGGGTGCCACCAGCCTCTCAGGAATACGATATGGCCACTGTCGTGAAGGTGTCTGATCAAGAAGGTGGATTTGGTGTTGTACCAGGTTGGTACACCCAGACCTCAGGCGGTCTCTCATCTTAAGGACGTACTGGACAATGCCCTTGTCAGACTTCGTCTCCTCTTCAGACAAAGCGGCCTCTCAGCTTTTCCGCAGTTGATGAGAGACTGCCTAGACAGCAACAGGGAGAAGGCCCAAGAGAACCTCCGACTGCCACAAAAGGCACAGAATATCCAGCCTCTCACGGAGACTTCTGATGCCCCAACACCTGCGATGAGACGACTCGACGCCTGTGAAGAGACGACTCAACGGCGGCGATATGTTATGCCCTAAATTAATACATGATGATTAACTAACTGTATTTTTCTATGTACATTTCTGAAATGCACTTTCTGTAAAGCTGCTTTGAAACAATATGTATTGTGAAAAGCGCTATACAAATAAATTTGAATTTGAATTGAGAATACTTGGTATAACCAAGACGCCAGATCCCGAGAACTGCAACCTAGACAAAAGGTTTTGTTACTGCTCCCAACGTCTACGAACAAACTGCTGGGACAGGTCACTCTGTCACAAACTGCTTTAATTATAAATGCATGGTTCTTTTTGTAATCTTTAAAGATTGAAAACCCCTGATGACCACCATTAACTCTCACTGTATGTAAAGAGCAGCTTCAATATTCTGCTAACATTCATCTCTTTTTGTATTCCAAAGAAGAAAGAAAATTATGCTGGTTTGAAACAGTGAACTATTGCTTTAAGGGTGGTATTATGGGGGTTGTAGCTACCTAATTTGACTTACTCTCAGACAGCCGTTAAAAAAGTTATGCAGTCTAAATTCACATCAAAACCCTCACTGCATAGCGGTGGGAATACACAGGCCTCTGTAAAGGGAGTCCGCTGTATCGCAACTAAGTGTTACTCTGATTTTTGGGAGGTAAACAAGTTTAAGGCTTAAGATCACAACAAAATCACTTTCTAAAAGGCAGCATTAGATAATGTAGTGCAACAGTGGCCACACACTTTTTCAGTGGCCTTATTTCCATTCATGCTGTCTGTAGGAATTTCAAAGACTTACTCAATAAAGAAGCCAACCAGCTCCAAGATGAATCACAATACAATCTCATAGAAAAACATAGACTGTGTAAATTGTGTTATGAGCTCATCATATGAGAATGAACTACTGAAAAAAAAAAAACTAAACAAAAACAATATATTTGAGGTTTATTGCAACATATTCTGATATAGAAAAATGTATAAGTTGAGTAAGAGTGTAGGAAGATTGACTCGATTAAGTCATTTGCAATGTCTCGTAGGAGTCGACTTCATGCTTATTTGTTTCACATACAGTGTAATTACAACATTTTAGTTTATTCCTTACAAAAATGTGTAGATAAAACACGCACGAGATGAACAGAGATAACAAAGTTCTTTAATAATCCAAGAGTATACGAAGGAGTAAGAGAGCAAACACTACACAACAACATAAGCAATAACATACAAAGAACCACAGGAAACTGAGGGTTTAAATATGGTGATATGGTGATTGATGGAAACAGAACTGGTTTAATGGGACTAATTACTAAACGATGGAGGTTACTCTTTATTGTAAGGTGTCATTGTTACAGTGTAATTCTACATTTAAGTACGAGTAATATTAATTAATAACATGTACTTACCATAGGGTTAGGGTAGGATTAGGATTTGGGTGAGGGTTAGTTGCATGTAATTATGTAATAATTATGTAAATAATTTACTGTTATTATTATGCTAAGTACATGTAACATATGTAACAAGGACACTGTAAAATAAAGTGTCACAACAATGGAATTAACTAAAGATTAGGGACACAGGCAAACAGTGCAAAAAAAAAAGCTAACTAGACTAAACTTAACATACACATTACAGCTTGAATGATTTGGAAAATCGCACACAAATTGTATGAACTACGTTTAAGTTTTTTTTTCTGTGAAAAAGAAGTGCACTTAATTGTATTGTATTGAATTTGCACTTGTAGTGGATTTCAAATCTTAAAAGTATATTTTTCAAAAACTATACTTTAAGATAATATCATATTAATTTAATAAAAGACCACTTAAGTGAACATAAAGAGAGACACTTTCATGACTGTTTCTTAACACACTTAAGTACATGTTTAAAAAGTGCAAATTAAAAGTCTTACTTTAAAGTACATTTTGAATCATTATGTTTTAATAATCTTTTGTTGTGCTTTAAAGAACACTTATTTAAAAGTGTTGAATAACATACTAAAGCACATGTAAACTACGTAATTATGGTTTTGACTGTAGTGTGTTATTCAATATTATATTATACATTTATATATTAAATGTACTTAATTACAGCTTGATCAGTACAAATGTGTAATTTGATGTATTATGTAATACAAATGTATTTAAATTCATTGACACAAAATATATGTTATATTAAAATATCTTTTAGTTTACCATTAATGCTTGTCAGCACATTCTTTAACCATAACCAAATACATTCGAATTATGAAATTAGATGTTCTAAGTGGATATAAAAATCACTTAGTTACACAAGTTAATTGCACTTAATATAAATTTAAACTATAATACGTTTCGTTTAATTGCAATTAACATGCCGACAACATTACAACAAAAGTGTCCGACAACATTACATTTTGCACAAGTATATTAGTTTAAAATATATGTGTAATTCTTTTCCACAAGAGTTTACAATGTTTTTATGATGAATTTGTGTGGTTTCACTTCTTAGAAGTAGAAACTATGAACTGTCATTGCACTAAAAGATCTGTGTGAAGTATATTACATTTTTTCTTATTGTGTGACATTAGGAAAGAATGCCAGCTTTCAGGTTTGGACTGACTTTAAACATTGAATTGCAATAAACAATGAGGATGAGTCCTACAGGATACATTGATTTATTCCACAAAAACAAATCAGTCTCTTTCTCTCCCAGAGTGAAATATAGAGACATACTTTATTTTACAACTGCCAAATGAGAAATTGCCTCTAATTGATCTTCCAATAATATTAATACATTATGCATGTGGTGGTCTTGGTGTGAGCTATGAGAGACAAATATTATCCATTATTTATGAGGTACATTTCTGGAGTATTATGCTGTAATCATCAGTGTTTTATGCATCTCTATTCATTATTGAACCCACTCATTGAAGGACAACTCTTCATGTAACAGAACAGAGTCACCGTGGACTCACAGTGAGATTGTTGTTATGACCAAGTCAATAAAGAGTAAATAAAAGTATAAGCCAAAAAGAATGGTCATGCAGAATAAGGCATTACTATGTGCTTCAGAAGTACTACTAAACAGCCAATATCCAAGTAATATGCATGCCAATAAGCAACTAGTTAATAGTAATAATTGGACCCTAAACTAAAGTTTTACTATTAATCCTTGAATAACTATACTTAAATACTTATTTCACTCACTGAAATGCAAATCAATTTATAACCTATATGTTTTTTTCTGGATTGTTTGGTTGATATTCTGTCTCTATAAGTTAAAATAAACCTAAAAATGATTGACTTCCTTTCTTTGTAAGGGGGCAAACTTACAAAATCAGCAGAGGATCAAATCATTATTTTCTCCACTGTATGTCTATATGGTAGTATACACTTAAAAGTTGACAAAATAAAGTTTCAGAATTAAAAATATAAAATTAGTTTATCTAAAAAAAAAAAAAAAAAAAAAAAACGAATTATCAGTTAGGACAAGTAGCAGGAATTCTGCATTCCATTCAACACGGAACGTTGGAAGATCCAACTTCCTACAAAATGCAAAAGAATCCAAGTTTAGAAATTCCTACATGATAATAAAAGCTGTTTTGCAGCCATAGGAGTAAGTGAGCTTTTCTGTTAATAATTTTACACCTGTGAAACAAATGCTACCACAGTACAGCATCATTAATCTCTGCTCAGCCAGACGTTCAAAAGACAGAAAGGCAGCTCAGGTTTTGGAACAGCGGCTCAAACTGACCTGTGCTGTCTAAAGGAAAGGCCCATGTGCTGCTTCATCTGCTGCAGGCCGTGGTAGTCTGTATAGATAAGGTCAAAGGACAACGGGCCAATCAGAGGACAGCTTCCTCTTCCTGGAGGCACGCCAAGTGACCTGAAAGTTAAGAAAGAACAAGTTTTGACACACTGAAGCAGTGGAAGAAGTTTAATTTAAAGGTTTGACGGCACTCATTAACACTAATGGAACTTTTCAGTCTGCATTTCATCCATAATGACGCAGCTCACATTTACTTGCTGTGGTACAATATAGATATTTGAGTGAATCTGTGGATTTCATTTACATTCTGTGCATTCTTGCACCAATACAGTATCGGACTTTGATATGTTTCACCCGTTTCACTTGAAACAGGCCTTGTTAGAGAAGGGGCCTCCGCTTGCGCTCGAAAAAGTGTTTAATTTAAATGTTACTGCATAGCCTACTAGTTAAAGACACCTACGTAATATAAAGTGGGACAAAATATATTTTAGTTAACTATAAATGCTTGTCAGTGCATTCAGCGGAACACTTTAGCCATATTTAAAAGACAACAGAAGTAATTATGAAATGAGATATAAAGATGTACTTATGCCATACTTATATGGAAAAAAAAATCAGCTAATTGCATTTTAAACTAAATAACATGCAATTAAGTGTCCAAAAACATGAGTATATTCTCAAATATATAATACGTCCAAGTTTTAATGGGACATTTATGGGACATAAGACATTCCATTGACAATGGTTTTTATACTGTACAAACTGTATATTCGATCCCTTTACACTAACCCTACCCCTAAACCTCATCTCAGAAAAATGTCTGCATTGTTACATTTTCAAAAAAGATCACTTAGTATAATTTATAAACAGTTTTTTCTCATGGGGACCAAAAAATATCCCCACAAGGACAAGGATTTGGGATAATAACCTAGGGTATACACTCACCTAAAGGATTATTAGGAACACCATACTAATACTGTGTTTGACCCCCTTTCGCCTTCAGAACTGCCTTAATTCTACGTGGCATTGATTCAACAAGGTGCTGAAAGCATTCTTTAGAAATGTTGGCCCATATTGATAGGATAGCATCTTGCAGTTGATGGAGATTTGTGGGATGCACATCCAGGGCACGAAGCTCCCGTTCCACCACATCCCAAAGATGCTCTATTGGGTTGAGATCTGGTGACTGTGGGGGCCATTTTAGTACAGTGAACTCATTGTCATGTTCAAGAAACCAATTTGAAATGATTCGAGCTTTGTGACATGGTGCATATCCTGCTGGAAGTAGCCATCAGAGGATGGGTACATGGTGGCCATAAAGGGATGGACATGGTCAGAAACAATGCTCAGGTAGGCAGTGGCATTTAAATGATGCCCAATTGGCACTAAGGGGCCTAAAGTGTGCCAAGAAAACATCCCCCACACCATTACACCACCACCACCAGCCTGCACAGTGGTAACAAGGCATGATGGATCCATGTTCTCATTCTGTTTACGCCAAATTCTGACTCTACCATCTGAATATCTCAACAGAAATCGAGACTCATCAGACCAGGCAACATTTTTCCAGTCTTCAACAGTCCAATTTTGGTGAGCTCTTGCAAATTGTAGCCTCTTTTTCCTATTTGTAGTGGAGATGAGTGGTACCCGGTGGGGTCTTCTGCTGTTGTAGCCCATCCGCCTCCAGGTTGTGCGTGTTGTGGCTTCACAAATGCTTTGCTGCATACCTCGGTTGTAACGAGTGGTTATTTCAGTCAAAGTTGCTCTTCTATCAGCTTGATTCAGTCGGCCCATTCTCCTCTGACCTCTAGCATCAACAAGGCATTTTCGCCCACAGGACTGCCGCATACTGGATGTTTGTCCCTTTTCACACCATTCTTTGTAAACCCTAGAAATGGTTGCGCGTGAAAATCCCAGTAACTGAGCAGATTGTGAAATACTCAGACCGGCCAGTCTGGCACCAACAACCATGCCACGCTCAAAATGGCTTAAATCACCTTTCATTCCCATTCTGACATTCAGTTTGGAGTTCAGGAAATTGTCTTTACCAGGACCACACCCCTAAATGCATTGAAGCAACTGCCATGTGATTGGTTGATTAGATAATTGCATTAATGAGAAACTGAACAGGTGTTCCTAATAATCCTTTAGGTGAGTGTATATACCCCATAGCCCATAAACTAGGGTATAACTGAACCTCACACACATGTGCAGGAGGTGAGTGTGATAAGTGCACCTCCTTCTCTCTGCTGGAGATCATTTGTCAGTTGGGAGAGTTTCTCTGGGATGGTCCTCCAGGGATACTGGAGCTGCCAAACCCAAAGCCTCTGGTGTTTCTGGGCAGATGCTTCAGCAGAGAATGTGTAAGACGCCGCAGTCCTGCTGCTAAACTGGCTTCTGATATTTCATTATGAATTCTGGAATGGTTTCACCCACCCACATCTTTCATCCAGAAAATGGGAAAAAAGCAATAAACGCATCACAATCGTATGCAGGTTGGGCTCTGTTAAAATTCATTTCCGGATACCAAAGGTTTTTGATCTTATTTTCGATCTGAAATGTCAAAATGTGACCGCCTTTAACCGTAACACCCGGGGTTTAATAGACAATAATGGAAAGACCTTTTTTAAACAATTCCCAGTTCATTTATGCAAATCCTCAGCCATAGGTAAAGCTTTTTTAGATCCTGGTCTGCAAATCTTCTATACATGGGGGTGGTAATGGCGCAGTGGATAAGACACATGCCTTTGGTGTGAGAGACCTGGGTTCGCATCCACTGTGAGACACCAATGTGTCCCTGAGCAAGACACTTAACCCCTAGTTGCTCCAGAGGCGTGCGACCTCTAACATATATAACATATTTGGATAAAAGCGTCAGCTAAATGAATAATAAAAAAAAATGTCACCACTGTAAGTGAGGTGGTCTCTTGCATAAACCAGGTAACTTTGTCCAAAGCAACACGTTTAACTAGGGGCTAAAATACATGTAACATGATGTAATAGTGTGTTTGTTTACAATAGTAGTGTGTTTGTTCCACATCACCGGTGTGAAATCAGACATACTGAAGATGTTTCCTGAACTAATGTGCTTTTAAAACTTAGGTTTTTCCAGTAATTTTCATTCAAATGGCTATTTTCTTTTAAAGCTGCACATAATACAAAATTATTCTAGCACAAATGTTAGTACACAGGTGAGCTGTCTGTCCTTCACTGTTGTCTAGCCCGTGTGTGAAAAAAAGTATACTTTAGCATGCTTTCAAAATTAGTACTTATAAAAGAAATAATGTCCTTTAAAAGTGCAAACAGAAAGTAGTTTTTATATACTTATTAAATGAATGGAACTGTTATTTACAATTAAATGAAAGAATTTTAAAAGCAATTAGTTGAACTTAGTTTTTTTTTTTACCCACTTAAGTAGGATTTAAGTACATATTTATGTACTTTCATATTTTATTCTATTGTCAATGAGCTATGGTTAAAGTCTACTGCTGAATGTACTGACAAGCATTTATGGTATACTAGTATAATGTAATTATAATGTAATTTATATTGAAACTTGTATGTCAAAATGCCTAAAAACATTGTGACAGTTTAGTATATTTAAAACATATTAACTTTGATGTAATATCAAATACCACAGTGTTTTTTTTTTTTAAGTAGCCTACTTAAGAAACATAGTCATGAAATTGTATTCTTTAAGTGCTCTTAACTGTCCTTTTATAGAGCACATTCAACACAATAAGCACACATATTTTCCACAAGGGTGAGGCACAGAGTATCAAGACACATTAGCACTTACAGTACACTGCATATACAATGTGATCACATGCAATTGCTGACCATGTTGGAGCCTATTTACATCTGTCTTTAGCACTGACATGTTAATCCAGGGGATAAACAAAGCCTGTATTTGCACAAAATGTCTGCTTCCCTCATGAACCAGTGATGGATGCAGTATATAAAAGAACAAAGGGCAGTGCAGACAGCAGGGGCTGGCGAACACACAATCATACTGCAGAAGCAGAGAGCACAACAGTGACCACCCACTTTCTTAACAGCATTGGATCTGGAAATATTTTTCACATTCACTTTCTCTAAAGGTATTAAAACAAAAACAAAAAAAATCAATCAATAATTTTGAGCCATGAACCAAACCAACCAAGCTTCCAGATGAATCACAACATTAAAAACTATGTTATTAAAGTTAAAAAAAAGAAAAGAAAATGTGTGTGTGTGTGTGTGGTTCAGGTAAACACTACATTATGGGGACAAAATGTACCTACAAAGCTGTCAATATCCGAAATCCAAACATTTTTTGGTCCCCATGAGGAAAACAGCCTATAAATCATCCTAAATGATGCAGACATGTTTCTGTGATGAATAGGTTTAGGGGAAGGGTAAGTGTAAGGGGATAGAATATACAGTTTGTACAGTATAAAAATCATTATTGCTATGGAAAGTCCCCATAAAACATGAAAACACAATACAGGGCAAAGGAGAAATAGCCATACCACGTAACATAGACGTCACCGAACTATGAACCGAATGAACACAGTGCTTAATTACACATGGAATGAATGATTGAAACAGAACAGGTGTTAACTAATTAAGAAGCATGGATACCAGATGTGGAAACTATAATGTTGTCAGTGCAATTATTTAACAATCTTTATTCTTTGTTGAATTTCTACATTTTTCTCCCATTTTATCAAAACACCGCTCTTATTTGTCATGTAAAGTATAAAATCTAATGCACCCATTAATAGCTTCAGTGTAGTTTTTTAAAAAAGATTTTCATGTAGATTATTTTATATTAAGTACTGTAAATTAACTGTAGTTAAACAACTTTAGGTCAACATTTGTTGGATGTATTTCTAAATGAAACAGGACATTATGTACGGGACATGTTGAGTGGGACATGAAGTTAATGAAGTTACTTGAGTCGGATTTTCTGTTGATTGGCTGTATGAGTAGCTTGTACGGTGGCCCAGAGAGATATGAGTATTTGCAGGACGTTTCTGTATTTGATTGCTTTTGTGAGTATTTGCAGCACGTGTTGTCACATTTATGAAGATGTTTTCTTAAGTTGGAGCGCATTGAGCTCTCTCGGCCACCAT